TTTCATTCTGCTGTGCATAAGGTCGCTATGGGTCGGTACCAACTCGATGGCACCTAACAACAACAGCAATGACATGGTTCCCTATTTTCTGTCTTGTAGGTTTAATTTCTTTCTGATATTTATATATGTGAATTGATTTCTGGTTGATGTTGCCATGTGCCTTAACATTAAGTTGTTACCTGCGTTTGTTGGTTCAAAGGACTGCCTTAGCATTTCTTGTAAGGATGGTCTGGTTTTAATAGATTCCCTTTAATTGCTGTCTATCTGGAAATGCCGTAATTTTACCATCATATTTAAGGGACACGTTGGCTGGAAATGGAATTCTTTGTTGCCTTTTTTAATTTAAATTCTTTCAGGGTTTTATGTATGTTATCCCATTGCCTTCTTGCCTACATGGTTTCTCCTGAGAAATCAGAACTTAGTCATATTTTTTCTCCCATTTAGGTGACTTTTCATTTTTATCTAGCTGCTTTCTTTTTTTTGGTCATGAATTTTGAAAGTTTGATAATGGTATAATCTTGGTGATTTTCGTTTGAGGTCTGCCCTCTTTGAATAGCTCCGTGAATGCCTATTTTCTCATCTTTCATGATCTAAAAGAAGTTTTCTTCCAAGAAAATCTTTGACAATTTTCCTGTTATAGAAACCAATCACATGGAAGTTATTTTTCCTGATGGTGCCCCACATAATTCTTAGACTTTTTTCATTTCTTGCTTATTTGTTGTTCTTTTTTTCTGACTGTTCCTGTAACAGAATAATATTAACAATTTGATTTTCAGTTTCACTAATTTCATCTTCCATGAATTCAATTTTACTCCTTTGTCTTCCCATTATAGTACTATTTCTGAAATTATAGTATTGGTCTTCTGAATTTCTACTTGTTTTTTTATGATTTCTAATTTTCCATTTATTTTGTCAGTTCTTGTATTGTGTTCCTAAATTCTTATAGACTTTTATGCTTGATTTTGTCTGTGTTTTCTTGTTTTACACCTCAATCTGTGGAAGGTACTTAAATGGAATTTGTTTGAATCTCTTATCAGATAATTCCAGCAGCATTTCTTCTCCTGGCAAATTATCTGGCTCTGTATTTTGGCAACTGGACTTATTTGAGACATTTTGTCATATTTTTTTGTGTGTATATGAGTAAAGTTGTCTGTTGTCTTCAAGACATGGTGCTGTTACTATATTAATGTGTTGATTGTCTGAGGACCTTCAAAAAGTTCATGGTAAATGGAATTAAAAAATAATGGAATTTTCCCTCCACACTTTGTGAAGCCCCCTCATTTGTTAGTTTGTTTCTCCCTGAATTTTCTTGTTTTGTTTTGTTTTAATCAACTTGGGCAACATGTTGAGGGTTTGGCAGTACTGGGGCAGTCACCAACTGTCTCTTTGGTAGCAGATGGGCATATGGGTACTAGCCTCAGCTCTGTGGTCATGAAGTGCTTCGGGCAGGTGTGGAAGATTTTGACAATCACCTGTCATCAATCCAATGGTGCAGGAAGAACAGTAGTGCTCACCCAGTGGGTGGGGCAGTAGGTATGCTAGGTGTGGCTGAACAGGGACACTGGCTCCCATCTGATGGGGAAGAAGTGGGAAAATGGGTAGGATGAATGTGGAAGAAGAATGAATAGGAAAAACATAGGGGTGAGAGGGAAATTTTGTAAAGAAAGAAAAAGAAAAATGAGGAAAAAAACAAAGGGGGAAAAGGCAACCCCAAACCAGCACAGTACTGGTGCAAGCACTACCCACCCCACAGGACTGGGCTGGAATGTCCATCACCAAACAGAGAAGGTCGAGCCAGGTGCTTCTGAATGCAGAGGTGGCAGTGGGCAGGGGAATCCTCAATGTGGTGGGAAGAAGATAAACGTAAAAGTAGAAAGGAAACAAGGAGAGGCAGACGGGAAAACTCAGAAGGGGTGGAGTGTGGGGGATGGGTGGGAGGCACAGTACTGGCGGAAGTATATCTGCCAAATCCAACTGTGGCAGGAAACGTAGCGCTTACTCCACCGGGAATTCGTACTGCCACATGGGGAGGGCTGTGGGTGGGTGCTAACTGCAGAACGGTCTTGGGCAGGCTTCCACTCCCCAGGAAAAAAAAAGGGTGAGGAAAGAAATGAAAAGAAAGATAACAAGAAAAAAACAGTAGCTCTGGCAGTGTGGGAGTAAGGGGTCCTTGCCTCACGTCACACCAGGTCAGGGGAAGGTCAGGGGGCATATCACATCTCTAGTTGCTGAACAATCTGGGTGAGCCTGTTGTGGGGTTCCCACTCTAATTGGAATGCCATTGACAATAATTGGCACACTGAGCTGCTTGACAATTTTTTGCTCACTGTTCACTGTTTTCGTTCAGTCTGTGTCTTCTATTTGTCGGTATTTGATCTAATTCTTGATGCCTGTCTTTGGAGCGCTGAGCTCCAGCTTCTTAGATGAACCCATTTTACTTGGTGTCTTGAGTGTTTGTTGTAGAGCGTCTGTGTCTTGTATGTGTCCAGTTTACCATCTTGGTTCCTCTTCTTGTTGTCATTTAATGGCATTAGGGAAGAAAGCAGACAGAACCCAGAATGTGTGTTAGGCTGGATTTAGCTTTAAGAATGCCAGAAGTTCAAGTGAAGGATTATTTCTTTACAAAGCAAAGAGAATCCTCAAATTGTGATTTCTTGATAAAGCGTGCCTTACTGTTATGTTCTTTCTGTAGAGAGACCCATTTACCTGCATCACTTCACCCACTTGATGCTTTCCCTCTTCAGTGAGGGAAAGAGGGACGTCATAAAGTCAACACCAGGCATTTAGTCAATGTGGCCCCTGCAATCTTCAGAGAACAGTGACATTCTTACTTCCTATTCTTTTTGAACTCTGGCACATAAAAATTGGTGCCAAACATTTCAGCCTAGTTAAATCATTCCTTTAAAGATTGCACCGAAAACCTGCTTTAAACAACGCAGCATATCTGTTAGAAAGAAGCGATTAAAGATTCATGGGTTCCTGACCTTTTGCTTTGAGGTTTGAATTTTCAGTGCCCTTGGTGAAAGACCCAGTAGCTGGTTCAGCTCTAGCCCCTGCTAAGCACCCATAGAGACTGGGTCCTCAGCACCTGCTGTATTGTGACCCGAGGCTGTGAAGATCGGAAGGGGAGGCTGGGGGAGCTGCATGCTAGCTCTTCTCCCTTCCCAGCCCCTCTTCAGCAATGCCTTTTTAATTCCACACTTGTTGACCCCTTGGTAAGCACAAAAAGTTGCAGACTCTGAATAAGTTGTTAGTGGCAGAGGCAGTTGTTATTTCAGACAAGAAAAGAATAGGAAAGAGGGAGCAAATAGGCCTTGTGCTGAGAAGGTTCTCAGTACTGATGTGATACTGACTACTGAGATTCCTTTCAAAATGGAGGCTGGTGGCCTACGTCGGAGTCAAACGACACATCTAAACATGGTCCATATTAAAGAACGAATGATTTGATTGGTTTAGCTGCATCTATCAGAGATCTGCTAAGAGCTATACTTAAAAGGTTTTGTGACTGTGTTAGTCCAATGCCAGGCCAAGTTTACAAATGCTCCCCATCCTGGTCCAGCTACCCCAAAGTTGTTGTTGTTATGTGCCGTGGAGTCGGTTCCAACTCATAGCGACCCTGTACAGGGTTTCTGAGGCTATAAATCTTTACGGGAGCAGAAGCCTCATCTTTCTCCTGCAGAACAGCTGGTAGTTTCGAACTGCTGAGGTTCACAGCCTGATTTGTAACCACTACACTACCAGAGCTCCTTACTCCAAAGTATGCGGGTATAAAAATTACAGGTGCACTTGGTGAATCATGCCCCTCATGCAACTCAATTGCTGGCTCAGACAGTCAGGTGGTCATTATTTTGATTGGTCTAATTAGTCAGATGTGTTCACAAGCAGCTGCATGCAGCATTTGGACAGGTTCAAAAAATGCCAGGTAAAAGCAAGTCTGTGGGAGCCTCTTGCAATTGAGTGTCCAAATGCATAATGAATTATTAACATCTAGTGCTATTAATGATGAACATTAGGAGAAATTAAAAGACCATAATGAGAGCTTAAAGAGAAAAGAAATGTAAAGGTTCATTTATGCATCCAGACATTAAGCACAGGCTTGATGAGGGTTTCTGGTTTTACCAATTATCAAGCCGTCTAAGTCAAAAAAGTATTTCAACCACAATTTTTGTGCACAGCAGATAAATTATTGTTCTCTTTATATTTTGCCCATTAGTAATGAAAACAAAATTCATCATGGTGTATCGTATACCTTGATATTGCTCTAGTTTATGGCACCTTGAATTTGTGGAGGATCGGTTAGATCACAGTGCTCTCCAGTTTTCACATCGCTGTGATCGAAAGAAATGGCTTCAAATCATTGTTACAGTAGAAGTCAGTAGTGCTGGTTTCAAATAAAGAGGAAGTGATTTTCTGAAGGAAACCAGAGTTTATCTCAGATTTATTCGAGAAGAGACTGTTCTAGGGATAAATTTCCTATGAAATCTTGGTTCTGTACAAAGGCTAGATCTTACTCTCTCCCTACCCGCTACATGGTCTCTAAGTGAGTCTGTAGTTTGCTGCTTTTTAAAACAAAAATACAAAACCATGATTTTTCAACCCTGTCAGTAATCAAAGCTCAGAGTCCTAATTGACGTCACAAGATGTGTCAGAGCAGCGTCTTCAGCACCTTTGTGAGGGTCATGGTAACAGTTCGTGCTATTTGTTATCTGACTGACCCTCTGGCTTTGTTTTTGTTTAGATGAGTTCTGGTTCTCTGATGGGTCCCTATCGGATAAGTCCAAGTGCACAGACCCTGGTTTGATGCCCCTCCCAGACACAGCTACGGGGTTGGATTGGACCCACCTCGTGGATGCTGCACGGGCGTTTGAAGGTAAATGCTGCAAAGCCCAATGTACGTCTTCCACTACCTTGTGAAGCATCCTTCTGCAGTGCTCATGGGGTGAGACACCTTGGGGTAATATGTGGAGTCGGGTTTGGGATGATTTGCCCATCTTTGAGGATGCAAACAAGCAGAAGGCCTGAACTGTGACTAGGGATGTTCCCTGGCTTCTGTGAAAGAGGAACAGTAGACTAGGAATCACAAAACCTGACTTCTAGTTCAGGCACCAGCTGTCCTCCTGGGGAAGTCATTTGTCCTCTCTGAACATGTGACCTTAGCTGAAAGTAGATAAGGTCTACTTTTATTGTTGTTGTTGTAAAGGGGCTGTCACATTAGTGCTGACTCATAACTGATCCTGTGCACAACAGAACGAAGCACTGCCTGGCCCAGAACAGCTTTCACAATTGTTAAGTTCAAGGTCATTGGTGCTGTGGCTGGGTCAGGTCCCAATATAAGGAGGGCAGAGAGGAGGGAAAAGGTCTCTTAAGTATATTGAAGTTGCCAGGCAAGGTCAGTGGTTCAAAGTTGCCAGCCACTCCCAGGAGAAAGAGGAGACCGTCTGCTACCATAAAGAGCTACAGTCTGATATACCCCAAAGAGCAGTTGTGCTTTGTCTTGTAGGGTTACTCTAAGCCAGAATCAACTCAATGGCAGTGAAGCTGCTGTTGTTTGAGTAGAGCTCAGTAACAGTGAAGTATATGTTATTTGTGAATCAGTAAATTGTAATGGAAGAAGTCATAAGGAGGATGCGTCAAGAATTTAAAAACCTTACTGTAAGCACAATGGAAATGGTTAGAAAGATTTAAGTACAGTAAAGATGACCATCCTTCCTACATTATCATTTCAATTAAAATTCTAAAGGCTGTCTTTAAAAACTTAATATCCATTTAGAAAAAGGATGAACAGTGTTCAGCAAAAATATTACTTAGGAATCTATAATAATAATCAACTAGTAAGTAAACAAGGACTCCTGATGTGGCGCCGAAGGGTCAGCTCTGAACTGAGAACCACAGGGTCACTATGAATCAGAACTTACTCAATGGTACTTACCAACAGCAAGAAGGAAGTAAGTCCTGGTGTTACACTGTAGGGTAAGCACTGGACTGCTACCCTCAAGGTTGGCAGTTAAAACCCACCAGCAACTCCTCAGAAACCCTGTACAGGGTTGCTATGAGTTGGAACCTACTTGACAGTACTTAATAACAACAACAAATATAAATTTAATAATAGTGGGCTCTGGTTTTCCAACGGTCGCACTAATGGAGGGGGCAGCGGCTGAACGATGTGCGAGAACTGCGCAGACCTGGTGGAGGTGTTAAATGAAACCCAGACCACGGAGCGGTGGGGTGAGCGGCATCTGGAGACCAGGTCGACGGGGGCGGGGAAGGGGGGGAGAACACTGCCTAGCGTAAAGAGACTGCAGCAGCCAGCCAGGCTGTCCTATTTACCCCACGAGGGCGCCATCCCGGCCTAGCCGTTGGATCATGGCTTTCAGGTGGGATCGACCAACTTAGAGACCCATGAGCGCAGCCCAGAGCGTCTCATTACAACCCTGTCGCCCCTGCTGCGCTTCCGCCTCTTGACTGACACAACATCCGAGGACAGAAATCCCACCTTTGAGCCGGACTTAAAGGCCCTAGCACAAGGAGATTCTTGTTTAACAGCTACCACACAACTGCCACTCGTCTGTCTGTCGTGCTGTGGTGGTTTGAATTGCTGTGATTCTGATGGCTATGCCACCGGTATTTTAAATAACCAGCAGGGTCACCCATGGTGGACAGGTTTCAGATGAGCTTCCAAAGACAGACTAGGAAGAAAGAGTAACAAACTACTTCCGAATCTCTAGTCACTGAAAAACTCT